ATTCCCTTGTTCCTCGCCGATGGAGTTCGGCGACGGAACCGTCGATACAGGATGGAGCGGTTTCTCCCTTTCGTATCAATTTTGTTCTCTTTCTTTTTTTTATATATATATATTATATATATATTCGTATACATATATATATGTTATATATATATATATATATATAAAAATGTATACGTAATATTGTATGTACAGAAGCAGAAACGCGGCGAGGCTGGAACTCTCTGATACTTGTATCTACTTGTAAGGGATAGTGTGATAAGTATATGCGTGAATTATACAATCGACGTTGTCGCAGAACGTATAGACAGGTCGTATAAGTTAATTTTAACGAATCTTCGGGTCAATCGATCATTCGTGTATCGCGCGGCGATCTCCGTTTGATTGTGAAAAATTTAGCAGAGGATTTTCTCTATCTTGCTCCGTTTACAGTCTTTGTTTAGAATATTCGTGATCGGAAAAGGTCGTCTAATTAAAACAGATGCAAGTTCTGAAATTTATTATATAGAAAATAGAGAAAGTTCTTTAAACCAAGGGATTGTACCGGATACGCGAATGGTCGAGATGAGAGCTTGTTGATCAATTTCGTTTCACTTGGTTCCTAAGGCACGCGCGAACCACCCTCAGGGAACCGATACCAACTTCCGCTTTTAATCTTCTCTTGTGCTACCTGATGATGATGTACCCGTTTACGATGTATTACGTTGCCGTGTATTCCGATTTTACTTGGCTAAGATTAGTGGATTTTGGTTGACCATTGCGATTACCACCGTAGTACCCCCCGCGCGCTTCTTCGCACGAAGCGTTTCTGAACGCCATCACGCGCATTCCTTCTTTCTTCTTCTTTTTCTTCTTTTTCTTTTCTCTATCTTTTGCCGGCTTCTTACTGACCGGGTTGACACTTAGCTCGCTCCCTGTCCCAACCAGCTCACTGACACATTTCTATCTCAGGGCTGATCGCGAATCGCAAGGATTGATTCGATCCAAGCAATGACCAGATCGACGGCTGGTTCAGCGGATTTAGTTTGATCGGAGGTCGCTTAACTTCCAGTGAAAATGTATATTCTGAAACATTTTATTTGTACACTTCTGGCTCACAAAGATGACGCGTTCGAAGCAGGCAGCACAGTTTTAAGGGTCTTTTTGAAGGGCTGCTTCAGAAAGCTCGTTTTCAACGAGGCGAGAAGTGCAGCTAGAGTTGGCAGTATGTACTCGACGAATGTAATGTTAACTATACTTACATAATATTGTGTAGATTTATAGATGCAGGACAGCACGAATCAATGAACAGTATTCATTCCAAACTGTAGAAAGTATGAACAAATGATATTAAAAAGTTTATTAAAGAGAGAATTTATAGTGATTCTTCAGCGTGTTATGTATATGTAAGGTGTGTGTGTGTGTACTTCTGATTCTAGCTGCATATTGAAACAATGGATACGGAGAAAATTTTATAAGCATACACATCTGCTATAGTTGTCCATAGGACATTATCATGGATGTTACTAGTTGCATTCTTCATATCACTCTGTATTCGCGCGACGATTCTTTTCTCTTCGACACTAATTAGCGCAAGAATATTTAAGCGACCTTTACTGAAATTCGAACACCGTTGCGCTACCTCGCCATTGTCGAGAGTTTTAAATAATGGTAATCGGTAGGCATTCGGTAATTGTAAGAAAAGCATTATGTAAGAACACGTGCGCCATGTAAGAGAGCAATAGTCATTGAGACTTGTACATAATGTCCTGGACCAAGTTTCAATTAATTATCCGAAAGCCGAAGGAGGATGACAATTGGCAGAATCGAGACGATTCTCTGAGCTCAATTATATAAATAGATAGTTAAGCGGAACAAATTGTAATTAAGGGTTTAGGGATATTACTGGTTCATTGTGTTGCATGAACACGTGTTGTCAATTCTACCTGTTCATCGGAAGGATCGCCGATATATCAAAAAATTTGCTTATCATGTTCTTATAATGCAGCGCATTTTCCAGCATCAAATCAAACAAAATTTTATTAACTATCTTGTTCTGTTTTCGAAGAGGGAGGAGAGGGGATGAAAACGTTTACTCTTAACAATCAATGCAATGGTTGTAGAATCGGGGTCGAAGTGCAGAATAAAAGTGAGGATGAATTTGAACTATTTCTCTTTCCACCTCTTTTCGTAATTGACAAAACAAAAAAATCTCTTCTGTACTACTCGGTGGAACAAATATGACGGCAGGTAGTCAGTCGGTATCGAAGTCGATGAAATATACGAAGAAGCAGACGAAAAAGCTTGCAACTGTTTTTGTTCCACCGAGTACCGTTCCTTTGTCTCAATGTAATCTTGTCCTCTACATTATAACTGTTCTCGAATATATTTTTTTTTAGAATAAACGAAATTTATTCCCTCGGAGAGAAGGAAACTGGAAACCAGTGTCCAGACCGTCCCGAAAACCGTGTGTGCCGTCCTCTCGGACAAGAACCACCGAAGCTTGTTCGTCGCGATATCAACCGTTTGTGCAATTCGAAAATTTTATAAACGAATCGTTCGCTCGTACGACGGACGTGTAACCAAATCGACCATTAGACCATTGTTCGAGAATAAAATGTGTCAGCCTCGTTCTCCGTGTCTTACTTCGTGTCTTGACCCGTTGAGCACCATTTGCCGAGTTTTCAATGGCAAGGCTGTGCTCTACCGCTGATTTTAGTTCTTTCATTGAAGATATTGCGATGGCCCCGAACTCTGAATTTTAACGCTTAGCATTTGTAGTATTAGCTGAATGTTTGCACGATTCGTCTTCTAGGACAGCAGCGAAGCGCAAGTAGGAATAGGAGCTTTCGTTTTTAGAATACGGGATGATTCGACGGTAAGTCGTTGACTCAATTCATGATGGCAACTGAAATAGGGTAAACTTGACCATTATTAAATCTGCGATAATTGATATTACATACTGCATATAGAATTAAGTACTTAGAAATGATAAAAATAGAAAATTAATTATGTATCTGCTTCTGAACATTTTGAAAATAGCGCCTTTTCTGACAAGTAGCGCCCCTTGCGGTGAAATCTCGAAGCTTTATTCGGGGTGCAGTACAGCGCCAATAAGGCCAGTGACAAAACGCTGAAACTGCTAGCCAAACGGTGGCGCCTCTTGTGGAGAACAAGTGAAGCTCCTTTCGGGGTCCATACAGCGCCAGTTGGGCTAGTGGCAAAATGCTCAAACTATTGACCAAATGCGATTGTTGGTAATTTGGCTATTGAGTATTGATTTAAGTTTCCGCCGCAGACTTGGGATACTCGTCGACAGATGTCGCGCGCACGCAGTGTTACCGCGCGGCGAATTGCAGGCAACTGTTGCTTGACGAACAGTTTGAGCGTTTTACCGCTGCACGAAATTGGCGCTGTTAAGCTGTTTGAAAGCAGCAGAAAATTCGTGCCGGATTTTACTTTATCTCTTACGTACAAAGTGGCACAAATCATTTGTTCCAATATTTCATATTGGAACGTGAAATGGAAAATTGTTTATAACTAGTGGATTACAATTCATATATACAACAAATGGTTATGGATACATTGTTAGGGATCACTTCTGGAACTTTTACTGGTAGAAGTACAAATAATATCGAAATTACATCGAAAAGAAGAATCAGCATTACGATACATTCCATCCTTCTGCCTCGCAGAANTATCGAAATCACATCGAAAAATCATTAAACTTTGATCGCTTTTATTACAGGATCGTAAAAATATTTTCCATTGAGATGTATATCATTCCATCCTTATGCCCCGCAGAACCAGGAAAGAAGTAAAAGGCCACGATCTCGAAGAACCACGACAGTGGTAGATTTTAACAATTATATCGGCCCTTTTCAGGGCCACTCAATTTTAACGCATAATCGAACGATTCAATACACTCCCCTCCCTCCACAGGATACCTCTACGATTTTGGATTATCAGCGATTAATTAATAGGTAACCAAGTAATTACCCGGTCAGTGTTTGGTGACAATACAATGGAAGTAAACTTCATGTGTTAGCCATATCTGAGGTACCTCCGCCAGCATCACCTGCACCGACATCGCGACCACTATTTCGAACAGCAAATGCAACAAATTCTAATCTAATTAATGTATACATAATATAATCTACATAATAAATATATAATTATAATTGAACTATTGTATTCTTTATTTACCACCTTCCTCTCCCAACCTGCCACTCCCCCTTCCACACTTCTTTCCTTATTTGTCCATCGTTTCCACAGTTCTTCCACAATCAACGCAATCTCTCACTCCCTCACTTTCTCAACCTCACTACCTCTCACTCTCTCACTCTCTCACACTCTCACTTTCTCACTCAGTCACTCTCTCTCTCTCTCTCACACACTCTCATTCTTTCATTTTCTCATTCGTTCTCTCTCTCTCACTAGTTCACTCTCTCTCTCTTTCTTCTCTTTCATTCTTCCTTTTCATTCTCCTCTAAAATTCTAATACCTCCTCGCACATCATGTGCTCCTGATACAAAATCCAAAATTTTCCGAAAAATTGCCTTGAAAGTAGTACAAGTCAAAATCAAGCCTGACATCGAGTTTAGAATACCTCCTCGCATATCATGTGCTCCTGATACAAAATTTCGAAATTTTCCCGGAAATTTTCGAAAAATTTCAGAAAAAGTAGTACGAGTCAATGTCAGGCCAGACGTCCGAAAGAATACCTCCTCGCATGTCATGTGCTCCTGATACAAATTTTCGAAATTTTTGGAAAATTTTCGGAGAAAGTAGTACGAGTCAACGTCAGGCCAGACATCCGAAAGAATACCTCCTCGCATGTCATGTGCTCCTGATACAAATTTTCGAAAAATTTCGGAAAAAGTAGTACGAGTCAACGTAAAGCCAGACATCCGAAAAATACCTCCTCGCATGTCATGTGCTCCTGATACAAATTTTAAAGAAAATTTTTTTTTGGAATAAGTAGTACGAGTCAACGTCAGGCCAGACATCGAGTTTAGAATACCTCCTCGCACATCATGTGCTGCTCCTGGTACAAATTTTCGAAAATTGGGAGGTATTTCGTTTTGTCGAAAATCAGTAGTACAAGTCAATAATCGGCCAGGCAAAGAATTTCGAGAAACCTCTTCGAAGAGTATCATGTTCTCCTGATATAATTAGCAAGTAGTTTATGTCAATGGAAAGTCAGATGGAACTATCAGAATGGGTGTGAGAGAGAGAGAGAGAAATTGCGTTGATGTGGAAGAACTGTGGAAACGATGGACAAATGAGGAAAGAAGTGTGAAAGGGAGTGGCAGGTGATAAATAAAGAATACAATAGTTGAATTATAATTATATATTTATTATGTANACATAATATGCGAGGAGGTATTATTTCGAATGTCTGGCCTGACGTTGACTCGTACTACTTTTTCCGAAAATTTTCGGGAAAATTTCGGAATTTTGTATCAGGAGCCCATAATATGCGAGGAGGTATTATTTCGAATGTCTGGCCTGACGTTGACTCGTACTACTTCGTACTACTTTTTCCGAAAATTTTCGGGAAAATTTCGGAATTTTGTATCAGGAGCCCATAATATGCGAGGAGGTATTATTTCGAATGTCTGGCCTGACGTTGACTCGTACTACTTTTTCCGAAAATTTTCGGAAATTTTCGGGAAAATTTCGGAATTTTGTATCAGGAGCACATAATATGCGAGGAGGTATTCTTTCGAATGCCTGGCCCAACGTTGATTCGTACTACTTCTTCCGGAAATTTTCGAGAATTTTCGGGAAAATTTTGGAATTTTGTATCAGGAGCACATGATGTGCGAGGAGGTATTAGAATTTTAGAGGAGGATAAGAAGGAAGAGTAAGAGAGAGAGAGAGAGAGAGAGAGAGAGAGAACGAGTGAGAAAATGAAAGAATGAGAGAGTGAGAGAGTGAGAGAGTGGAAGTGCGTGAGGGTGAGAGAGTGAGAGAGCGAGGGAGTGAGAGAGTGTGAGAGATTGCGTTGATTGTGGAAGAACTGTGAAAACGGTGGACAATTGAGGAAAGAAGTATGAAAGGGTGTGGCAGGATGGGAGAGGAAGGTGATAAATAAAGAATGCAATAGTTGAATTATAATTATATATTTATTATGTAGATTGTATTATGTACACATTAATTAGATTAGAATTTGTTGCATTTGCTGTTCGAAATAGTGGTCACGATGTCGATGCAGGTGATGCTGGCGGAGGTACCTCAGGTATGGCTAACATACATCTTCCATTGTCGTGGTTGTTCGAGATAGTGGCCTTTTACTTCTTTCCTGGTTCTGCGGGGCACAAGGATGGAATGTATCGTAATGCTGATTCTTCTTGTGACGTATACATCTCAGTGGAAAATATCTTTACGATCCTGTAATGAAAGCAATCAGAGTTTAATGATTTCTCGATGTAATTTCGATATTATTAGTCAAAGTTTCAGAAGAGATCCCTAACAATGTAACCATAACCATTTGTTGTATGTATGAATTGTAATCCATTAGTTATAAACAATTTTCCATTTCATGTTTCAATATGAGATATCGAAGCAAATAATTCGTGTCACTTTGTACATAAGAGATAAAGCAAAATCCGATATGAATTTTCCGCTGCTTTCAAACAGCCTAACAGCGCCAATTTCGTGCAGCGGCAAAACACTGAAACTGTTCGTCAAGCAACAGTTGCCTGCAATTCGCCGCGCGGTAATACGGCGTGTGCGCGACATCTGTCGGCGAGTGTTCCAAGTCTGCGGCGGAAACTTAAATCAATACTCGCCGACAGATGTCGCGTGCACGCAGTGTTACCGCGCGGCGAATTGCAGGAAACTGTTGCTTGGCGAACAGTTTGAGCGTTTTGCCGCTGCGCGAAATTGGCGCTGTTAGGCTGTTTGAAAGCAGCAGAAAATTCGTGCCGAATGTTCCATTGCTTCTTACGAGAGAAGCGGCACGAATCATTTGCTGCGATATCGAACGATTGAACATAAAACTGAAAATTGCTTATTACTAATTAATTACAATTCACATGCGCATAAAATTGTTATCGATGCGTTGCTAGAGGTCTATTCTAGAGTTTTCAGTGGTAAAAGCGCACACATTGTGT